TTTAAAGCAGCACTCACTATCCAAAAACCCGAATAGAAAATGGTGAAGAACTGAACCACAAATGAAATTGAGGTATTGCAACAGCACCGCGTCAGCGTCAAATAAAAATTTGCCTATCTCATTTCTGTTAAGCATATTATCCACTATCGAATTGTCGAATTGACTCTGAACAGCTCAGCAAACACAGTTGCCTATGAATGGTGATTCGTTGGCAAATCCTCATCCGCTCATGTTCGGCTAGTGTTTCACCTTGAATAAACACTGTACTGAGATGTCGAGTGGATTGGCGGATCTGTTTGATATATGGCTCTTATCGAGGGGTGAACTACTAGTGCGCAAACATAAAGAAGCACTACGCCAACGTTTAATTACATCAAGGGTTACGTTTCTAATGTGAAGAATACTTAACCGTTTTAAAGGACGTATTCATAGGAGATTTTTTAACCGTAAGGCTGGCAGATACTTTATGTGTGTACATCTCGTAGTCAGCTGCTATGTATACTCATTACCCCTCAAGTTACCATAATCTTTCATTTATAAGAAATTAACTTTTTTCTATATCAGTTGTGATATATGAATTGCAATGAAAGTTCTGCATATCTCCATCACATCGGAAAGCTCATAAGAGTTAGATATTCATCTCCTTTACCGGAATAGTCAAGCCAAATTTTTCTGCTATGTTTTCGAAGATTTTTTCAATATTGCTATCTGCTATATTTACTAAGATTTTCTTGATTTTGCCATCTGCTATACTTACAGAGATTTTTTCAAATTTACTATCTGCTAATTTACATTTTCTCAAAACAGTCCATATAATCAGTTTATTACTATTGGAGCCACCTGCCCAAAGCCGTTGGCTAATTGCGTCCTTTAAGGATGTAATTTCCTAAAATTTTAATATTTGGATTCTCTGAAACTTTAGTAAAATATGATATAATTGAAAAACTTGTACTTTTCACTTAAGAACAAAGCATCGTCGACGCAGTGCGGGAAGCTAAAGAAATGAGTTTTTAAAAAAAGGTCAGACCAAAGACTTTGTCTGTAGCTGTTGAAATTTATTTGTCAGTCAAATGTTTAAGCTTATAATCAGTGGCGAGTTCCTCGCAGAGTACTTCACTCATTACGCTCAATAGCTATTCGGATGCAGTTTCCGTACATCATCCATATGTCACTTCTTGCTCCTTTCAAACTATCTTCCTTTCGTTATTACTTACATCCTACTTGTTCCCAAGTTCTTTCGTACATAACGTTTTTAGCTGATTCTACTTTTGTATCAGCGTCTTTTCAATCCATCTGTCCTTTGTTAGTTACCATTCTACGTCACCAAACTTGAATAAACTATAAACAATCATTTTTATTAAAGACTTTCATATAAATTCACAAAATATACAAGCATTGCATCTGTTCAAACGTTAGCGTCGTTCTTCTTCCGTTTACACTTCTTGTAAATGTAAAACACGGAGAAAATT